GGGGGGGGGGGGGGGCACTCGCATGGCTGGCTGCCTGCCGCGGCTGTGCGTGTGTTTCAGCCCAAGCAGCCCGCGAGCGCGCTGCGCTGCCTGCACCGGCCCGGACGCGGGCGCGGGCTGCTGATCGTGTCGATACGAGGGAGAGGAGAGGGGAGGCATTGAGTGTGTGAGGCGGAAAAAGGGAATATATATATATGTATAGAAAAAAGGCGAAGTGCCTTCTTCCTTTTCTAAGTGGTCGAATAAATACGGGATGCGCTTGGTTTTTAGGGTATACCCCTCCCATGTGCACACTTTCGCTTGGCCATCCATCAGCAGCTCTTTGCGAAGCGTGTAGACGGGTTTGTTCGTAACCATATGCTCCATGTGACGTAAGCTATCCCCAACCGGTAAAATACTGAATTTTGACCTTTGTAAGGCTGGGCGCACTTCTGTGTATAAAAGTCAAAGGAAGCAAAGCAAAGTACTGTGACCTAAGAAATAGTCTCTCAAATTGTCAAGCTCAGTCCATGTCACGGACATAAAAAAATAGCGGATTCCTACTGTGAAGTATCGTTATAGGTTTTCCCGCATGGAAAAAACTAACTTAACTAACTGAAAAACATGCTGGTTACCGGAAAAATTCTCACATTATGTGTTGTAAAATTACAATTTAAAATTGTAAATTTACAAGCCATTTGTATCGCCCTTGGATTGATCAACAAAAATAAGCGAGAATGTGTAGGCGCAAAATTTACCACATATTTTGTAAATAAGAGTTACAACATATGTTGTAAATTTACAAGGATATTTGTCACAGCGTAGATACGTTGAATTTTCACCGTAAATCGTAAACCCCGGTGCATTTCCACTGTACACCGTGGGCTACGAGGAATTATCGTCGTAAGCTACGATGGTGCTTTACAACTTGCGCTACTGATGCCTGGTTTTAACGCGTGGATCACAGGCGCGTAGGAAGGTCCAAAAAGCTGGGGGGGGCACGTGTTATGGGTTGCCTACCCACCAGGCGGAGTGTTGTTTTTTTTTTAATTGTAGTACACACACTTTACACTTTTCCAAACATCTTCTTCCTGTCGGAAGTCTTCGACAAGAAGTCCCTGAGGATGCTGTTCAGATCTCTTTGCTCTGTGAGATGTTTGTGAATGTGTAGCAGAACTACCTGCGACAAACGTGCCTGGTTCATGGTGAAACGAAGATAATTTTTCAGCCTGCGCAACGCACTGAAGGACCTTTCAGAAGTAGCAGCTGAAGCTGAACAAGAAGATTTTCTGTGCGTGGCGTGGCCTGCGGTCTGAGCGGCGTCCCTAAACCCATTTCCTTGATCGTGTCTTTCAAAAATTCTGGGGGGGCACGGCCCCCCCACCTCAAAACCTGGGGGGGCACGGGCCCCCCCGGCCCCCCCGTCTCCTACGCCATTGGTGGATCAGTCGGGCCCACGCCTGCTCAGGTTCTCTACACTGGGGTGAAGCCGGCCGGCGACACGGTGTACTCCTGTTGTAGGCCCAGGCCCGGCGCGCCGCGGTGGTGCGGATGCCGTGCGCCGCTGCTGCCTCGGCCGCCCCGCCCTGGACTCCCTGGTCCTGGCTAGCTGGCTCGCCCATGGATGTGGAGCGGCGCTGGCGAGCGCGAAAGCGCGCATGTGTGGCGAGTGGCCCTGCGTGTGTGTGTAGGAATCTGTTTGCATTGAGTGAGCAGACCGAGGAGAGCGAGGGGTGGGGGGTGGGGAGGGGGGTCGGTAATGAGCACGCTATGAAAGTCCACAAGTGTTTGCGCTTGAGTTGGAAAAGACTTCTTGTAGTAACGCTCCGGGCGCCACCCGTCTCTGAGCGGCCGACTTGGTAACCATACGAGTAACATGAGTTCTGCCCGCCGGTACTCGATCGGCCGTCATTCTGTAATGTCAGGACAGGACAATTCTGTAACGCTAGCGAATGTTAATCTGGTTGAGGGAATGAGGAATCATCCCAGAAAGTACGTTCGTCCGTAGCCGTCACGAGACCGCCAAGTTTAGCCTATGCAATCGCATAGCTGGAGCTCTCATGTAGTCGTCCTAGACAAACTTCTCGATTGGGCGGCCGTTACGGTGCAGTCTCCCTGAACGCTACAAAAGCTAGGATGGCTCTGTTTGCGCCAAAAGTTGCGTCTTATACAGGCCTAAGACGTCACCGAGTCTTAGGCTTCTAGTTCAAAAACTGACCTAGATATGGGCTAAATACGCGTCGCCTCAGTCGAGAAGTTTGGCTGGGACGACTATAGTGCTGCGGTGCACGGTGAAAAAAGTTTCTTGTATTACAAGACCCGGTCTTGGATCTTATGGAGAACGCCAATGGCATCCAAAACTAGGTCTTGTAATACAAGAAACTATTTTTACCGTGTGGATAGCAGGGCGTCGTAACGTAACGAAATTGTTTTTGACTATTTTCCACATTTTTGTTAATATCTCCGGAACCGTGCAAGATATTTTAACAAACTATGGTTCATTATACAGTTTGGATGGAACTTTAAATTCGTTATTTCATGACTCATCGTGCTCAGATTGGTCCTTGTGCCCTAAAATAAATTTCGTTTTTTAGGATAGGAAATAACGTTATTGTCTGCCCCCAAAAGAGGAAATTTATTTTAGAGCACAAGGACCAATTTGAACACGATGAGTCATGAGGAAACGAATTTAAAGTTCCATCCGAACTGTAAAATGAGTCATAGTTTTTTAAAATATCTTGCACGGTTGTGGAGGTATTGACAAAAATGTGGAAAATGGTCAAAAACAATTTCGTTACGTTACGACGCTCTGGTGGATAGGCAACATCTTGCCTACAGTGCATGCATGTACTGCAGGCTGGCCTACGCTGAGTCTCGCAGGCGCCGAGATCCTGTAATTTGTTAAAAGAAACCTGATAAAAACGGAAGTACCACACATGTATCACACTTAAAAATATAGTGCTGAAAAAAGACGTGCTGATACCGGAATACAGGTTTTTGTTTAACAGTGTCGAGGACTGGTTGGAAATAACTCAAGTGTGATACAGTCCTCTAAAACAATGGCATTTGAAGTGTTTCTCGTGCTGGAAACCAAGAACATTTCACTCAATCTGAGAGCAATTTGGTCTTGATATCTGAGAAGAACATTTTGCACTCAGTTCAAAGTGCCAGGTGGTCTTTTCTTATTTTTGCTCTCGGGTTGAGCATAAATCTCTCAGACCGAGAATCGACTTTTCTGGGAGCAGTGTGATAATTGTTTTTCTCATTGTTTCTCTTAGGTGCCAGTGGGAACCGGCTGCTTGCGTCAGGTAAGTGGCCTATCGCTCTGGCGCTCTCGCGTCGTATCGTTAGTCGGCCTGCTGAATACCACTCTTTGGCCCTACGGGTACGTTGGGTTGCCTGCCCGCTGGGCGGCGCGCCGTCTCTAGGGTCTGCCTATGTAATGGGGTCTGTCGCTCAATTGAAGCTCAAGCCCTAGTGTACTCTGGAAACCCATGTGTGTACTTGAATGCAGTATTTCCTGCATACCTACATGTATGCAGGATGTCCTGTGTACTTGATCAAGTACTCACTATAAAACCTCCTGCATACTTGCCAAGTACACAGGACCTCCTTGCATACATGTAGGTATGCAGGAGATACTGCATTCAAGTACACACTTGGGTTTCCAGAGTAAAGGGGATCCACACCATTTATGTCTTGCTTGATAAAAAAAAATGAAAATGAAATAAAATAGGAATCCTATGTACTTACTATATAGTGAGGATTCTTTAAAATGCTATAAGCTCTAATTGGTTTCCATTCGATTTTCACTTTTTCATATTTGGTCTTTTCTTCGAAGTGGCATTTTTTACCTTAGGTTTTGGGTCTACACTTTTTACAGTACCAACTTTGTCGCTAACCATGAGTCCCGCAGCTATCCGATGTTTACCCAAATTAAAGTTACTCCCTGCTTATTCAGTTTTCGGAGCATTTGCCTATTTGTAGATGCGTTATTGGCGCATTACTCTATTTTTGACGCTAAACAATGAGAAAGCGAATCAATTACATTCCATTGGGCCCCGCGGTACATCACCCTCGGCTCGGCGCGTGTACCCCGCAGGCACTTTCCCACTGTTTTGCAAGTGATACAGAATGCGATCTCGCGATCTGATCCCGTTGGCGCCATTGGCAGAGCTTGGTCGGCGCCTCCTAATTGGTGTGTAGTGTACACACGGGAAGACGTCCCTGAGTCGAGTCGCGCGCCAAGCCGGATGACGCGGACTGACCCTTTTCTTTCATCCGCAGCAGTGTAGCTGCACTGCAAGGCGAATATCTTTGTCGAGAGCGAAATGTAAAGAATAGCGGTGAAGAAAAATCTGCCTGGCGATTCTCTGCAAACAATCTTCATTCCTCGGCGATGATTGTCCGGGATGGTCTCTAGCATTGCGTAACCGGCTGCCCTGCACTGGTCTGGACGTGACCGGACCAGTGCAGCCAGGGCCTGCTGCGGCCTGCTGGGGCTCCAGGTGTGCGAGGCGCAGGGGTGCGTGCGCAGTGTGGCGTTACAGTGAAACCGTTTGTTTAAACGACGACTACATGTAACGCCGAAATCTTTTGAACTTCATTTGCACAATGACTTCCTTCAATTTTAATTATCACGAATTGAACAAATCTGACTTTCGCAAACTTTGTTGATGAAATTATCGCACATGCAGATTCAGTGTATAGCTTGCACAGTATATTTTGGACAGTGAGACACAAAGTTATTCATATAGTTGTAGTATATCTAATCGTAACTGTTTTGGTTACAGGATAAGCCAGGAGCAGTCGAACTGTGACGCGAATAATAATCATGTCTCCTCGACTAATGAGCATCAATCAACAACGCCAGAAAAAGAAACCATTATTTGACTGTACCGTATGCCATAAGAAGTTTACTCAAGCTGGTAACCTGCAAATACATTTGCGAGCGCACACTGGAAAAAACCTTTTCGAGTGCGATGTGTGCTTTAAAATATTTACCCTGCCCGGCAACCTAGAAACGCATTTACGAATCCACACTAAAGAAAAGCCCTTTGAGTGCCATGTGTGCTTTAAGAATTTTTCTCAAGCAGGCAACTTGCAGGCTCACTTGAGAATTCACAAAGGAGAAAGGCCATTCAATTGCAACGTGTGCGACAAATCGTTTACGCAAGCGGGCAACCTAAAGACACACTTACGAACTCACACCGGAGAAAAGGACTTCGAGTGCACATTGTGCTTTAAAAGGTTTACTCAGGTAGGCAACTTACAAACCCATCTGAGAACTCACTCTGGTGAGAAGATTTACGATTGCACTCTGTGCAACCAGACTTTTACGCAATCAGCTCACCTACAAAGCCACATACGAACTCACACTGGAGAGAAGCCATTCGAGTGTACTGAGTGCCACAGAAAATTTTCTCAAGCCATCAGCCTGAAGATACACCTTCGAACCCACACTGGAGAAAAGCCATACGAGTGTACTGAGTGCCACAGGAAATTCTCTCTAGCCAGCAGCCTGAAGATGCACCTTCGAACCCACATCGTACAAAAGCCATTCGAGTGCCATGTGTGCTTTAAGAAATTTTCTCAGGCTGGCAACTTGCAGGTTCACTTGAGAATTCACAAAGGAAAAAGGCCATTCGATTGCAACGTTTGCGACAAATCGTTTACGCAAGCGGGCCACCTAAAGACACACTTACGAACTCACACCGGGGAAAAGAACTTCGAGTGTACGTTGTGCTTAAAAAGGTTTACTCAGGTAGGCAACTTACAAACCCACCTGAGAACTCACTATGGTGAGAAGATTTACGATTGCACTCTGTGCAACCAGACTTTTACGCAAGCAGCTCACCTACAAAGCCATATACGAACTCACACTGGAGAAAAGCCATTCGAGTGTACTGAGTGCCACAGAAAATTTTCTCAAGCCATCAGCCTGAAGATGCACCTGCGAACCCACACTGGAGAA